CAAATGTTTTCCATACTATTTTTCTTTCATTTTTGGTATGGTATACACAAGTTTTACATTTGTTTATCTATCTGTTTGTAAATCTATCTGTCTTTTCTCTATGGTTCCTGTCTTTTCTAGACAGCTATAGAAAATCATTCTCTATATAACCTATTTCTCCTTCTTGAATCTTTTGATCTAGCCTCCACACGACTAAATTGTTGTGTGGTTGTCCAAAGACCACTTTACTCTGCTCTCTTAGTTTTGGAGACCCCGAAGTTCCTAATGCTCATTTTGATTATTTTACCTATCAAAGTGTTTCTTTAATAACAACTAATTGTTATTATATTACTTTATTATTATTATTATTATTTTATTTTTACTATATTATTCTTGGGTGAACCAAATGCACAGTAGGTGATTAAAAAGATGATTATTCACACAATGATAATAACAGGTAAAATTTCTCATAGAGTAAACAGATAATGGAGACTTTTAGATGGTTTGGAATAGATGCCTTTGGGAAAATGTGTGTGTTTGTATGTGTGTTTTGAAAGATGATATAACCATAGGTTTAAGAGTTCAGACTCTGCATCAGACTGTACAGATCCACATTCTAGCTCTCATAGAGTGGTTTGAATGGTTAAGTGAGATAATATGTGTCCATTTAATATTGTAAATAATCAATGTAATTTATTTTTTTAAATTTTTTTAAATGTTTATTTATTGTTGAGAGAGATGGAGACAGAAAGCGAGTGGGTTAGGGGCAGAGAGAGAGGGAGACACAGAATCTGAAGCAGGCTCCAGGCTCTGGGCTGTCAGCACAGAGCCCGACACAGGGCTCGAACTCATGAGCTGTGAGTTCATGACCTCTAAGCTGAAGTCAGACACTCAACCGACTGAACCACCCAGCTGTCCCTCAATACAATTTAAAAATAATATCTATTATTTAAGTGATGGAAGTCATAAATTATGTGTTTATTATTTCAAAATAAATGCATACCTATCTCATCTTTTGCATTTTCTGTCTCCAGTCATAAGGCACACAAATCAGAGTGTGTTTGTGTAAACAAACCGCCCTTTGCATCAACTGGACTTCATCAACCCCATTCATGTATTTGTTTATTCAACACACGTATTAAAAAAATTTTTTTAATGTTTATTTACTTTTGAGAGAGAGAGAGAGAGACAGAGCATGAGTAGGGAAGGGGAAGAGAGAGAGGGAGACACAGAATCCGAAGTAGTCTCCAGGCTCCAAGCTGTCAGCACAGAGCCCAATATGGGGCTCGAACTCACGAACCATGAGATCACGACCTGAGTTGAAGTCAGACACTCAAACAACTGAGCCACCCAGGTTCCTCCAACACACATCTATTTTTCAAGCTACATTTGTCAAGCATTCTACCAGGTGATGCAAATCCAAAGATAGACAAGAAATTATGTCTACTACTTATACAGGTTAACTCCAATATTCATAAGGTAAGTAGAAGAATTCAAAAAATTCTTAGTTACTCAATGATCTTGGAAGTGAATCTTAGCTTTTTACTCTGCTTTTTAAATTACTAGGAATTCTATTGCCATAATCTTGTTACCATTTTCTTTTTAAGCCTCTGCCATTTTTCTTCACTTTTTACCCCAATATTCTGCCCTTTATTTCCTTCACTGCCCTCCAGCCTTTTGGAGAGTAGTCTCTTCAAGCAACGATACCGTTGAAAGAGCCTCTCCTTTACTTCCAAATCTTCTCCTTTTAATATAATACACATGATATCATACACACACACACACACACACACACACACACACACACACACTGATAATATAGTTAGCTTCCAAGCAGTCAGTTTGCTGTCATCTCTATTTAAATGCGTGCTGGTCTGGGGCGACTGGGTGGTGCAGTCGGTTAAGCGTCCGACTTCAGCCAGGTCACGATCTCGCGGTCCGTGGGTTCGAGCCCCGTGTCGGGCTCTGGGCTGATGGCTCAGAGCCTGGAGCCTGTTTCCGATTCTGTGTCTCCCTCTCTCTCTGCCCCTCCCCCGTTCATGCTCTGTCTCTCTCCGTCCCAAAAATAAATAAAAACGTTGAAAAAAAAATTAAAAAAAAAATAATAAAACCTTTATCCTTACCTACTTTCTCCACTGTTCCAGTAGAAATAATGTTTTTGCTCCTATAAGAAGCCAACCCAGCTACGTGTACTCTGAAACCCATTTTCTCTTGACCTCTCAAAAAGCTATTGAATTATTCCTCTTCCACTCTTTCTTGCAGTGTCGATTTTTTCCTTTACACTGATTCATTTCTATTATCATAAAATGCACTAGCACCCGCTATATTTTTTAAAAACTCCCTTGACCGGGGGCACCTGGGTGGCTCAGTTGGTTAAGCATCTGACTCTGGATTTCAGCTCAGTTCATGATCTCACAGTTTGTGGGTGTGAGCCCTGTGTCAGGCTCTGCGCTGATGTGTGGAACCTCCTTGAGATTCTCTGTCTCCCTCTCTCTCTGCCCCTCCCCTGCTCATGCTCTGTCTCTCTCTCTCTGTCTCAAAATAAATAAATAAACATTAAAAAAAACCCCACCCTGATCAGACATATTCCTCTAGCTACTATCCCATTATTCCTCTCAGAGTATACTTGTCATAGAGTTGGCTAAGTTCACACCCTCAAATTCCTCACCTTCTGTTCTCTTTTCAATACATTCTCTTCTCTTCACAAAATCATTTCTGATAAACGTCACTAGGAATTCCACATTGCCAATTCAATGGCCATTTTCCTATTGTTGCGTTTCTTGACCTTTCAGCAGCATATAATACAGCTGACAAAACTTTTTTCTACGGATTTCTGAACATGCCTTTGTATTTCCTCCTCTATCCTTAGCTGCCCCTTCTCTGTCTTACCTACTGGTTCCCCTCTGTTTTAGCTTTCCAACAGTCAAGGTCATGATCCCCAAAGGACAGGACTCAACCCCGTGTCAGTACTCTTTATCTAGGTGAGCTCCCTCTGCTTCATGTACGGTTCTTTTTCTTGAGTTCCTGGTACAAATATCTAACTGCCTATTTGACATTTCCCTCTGGATATCTAATAGACATCTCACACTTATGTCCAAAATCATATCAGTCTTTTTCCAATTATGTCTCCTAAATCCTTTATTTCCCTATCTTTTTATTTCAGTGAAACACAACAAGCACACCATGGTACCCCACTATGAATTGCAAGAACTGCTAAAAGAATCTGATGTATTGTAGACGTATGAAACAGCCTCACTGAAGGATGTGGGGATAAAGTCTGTAGATCTAAGTAATCTTGAAAATGTGTAGTTTTAACTTGTAAGACTAGTAACAAAAGGAATTGTACATAAGCACTGTCTTTGGTCGTTTCCCACAAGGTATGAGATAACAATTCTAAAGCCACAAAAAATGTATCCTGGAATTGAGCAATTAAGTAAATAAATGGTGATGGTGGCAGCCATGTTTCTCACTGCTGGAGCAGGAGGTAATGGAAGTGAAAGGGTGGGGGTTAGGATGATCCGTGCTGTAATTTATTGAAGTTCATCCACATGAACTCATGGAACCAGCTGAAAGAGTTCCAATGGCCAAACTGGAACAGTGTGAGGAACAAAATAAATAAGGTAGTATTGGGCTAGAACGGAAAAGTATAAAATGAATTTGAATGAGTTTTACTGATACAAATGATTGAATAAATAAGTAAATGGGAGACTACACAAAAATCACCTGCAGATTTCTAAATAATTTATGTAGATACTCTGTCATGGAAGAGGTGGGGCATAACTCTCCACTTCTTTTTTTTTTTTTTTTTTTACGTTTATTTATTTTTGGGACAGAGAGAGACAGAGCATGAACGGGGGAGGGGCAGAGAGAGAGGGAGACACAGAATCGGAAACAGGCTCCAGGCTCTGAGCCATCAGCCCAGAGCCCGACGCGGGGCTCGAACTCACGGACCGCGAGATCGTGACCTGGCTGAAGTCGGACGCTTAACCGACTGCGCCACCCAGGCGCCCCAACTCTCCACTTCTTAAAGTGTGGGCTGCACATATTGACTTCCTTTCAAAGGGTCCAGTATGGAAATGGAGAAAAAAGAGTAACTTTATAGTAGATAAAACTGACAAACACGACTGCAGTCACATGATCAAAGATAACAATAGTGATAAGCCATGTTGGTCGTAGGCACTCTGTAAGATGTGATAAAAATGGCACTTTATCCCTATGGTTTTCCTCCAAAAACCTTTAACCCAGGTGTAATGATGAGAAAAACATCGGACTATTCCAATTGGAGAATATTCTACAAGACATATGATCAACAGTTCTCAAAACCGTAAAAAAAAATCCCCAAGCGATACATCAAAAACAAGAGAAATTGTCAGCCAAGATTATCCTAAGAAGACATAAAGAATATGGGGCGCCTGGGTGGCTCAGTTGGTTGAGAGTCTGACTTTAGCTCAGGTCATGATCTCGTGGTTCATGAATTCGAGCCCCACAGCTCAGAAGTTGGAGCCTGCTTCCGATTCTGTGTCTCCCTCTCTGTCTGCCCCTCCCCTGCTCACATTCTGTCTGTCTCTCTCTCTCTCAAAAAATAAATAAAAATTAAAAAAAAAATTTTAAAGAATAAATAGATACTGTGGTATCCAAAATGGGGTCCTTCAATAGAAAAGGTAGTAAGTAAAAACGAAGTAGAGACTTTAATAATAATGCATCAATATTGATTCATTAATTTTGACAAATGTCCCATACTAATGTAAGATGGTAATAATAGAGAAACTTGGGTGCTGTGTATATGGGGATTTTCTGTACTAATTTCACCATTTGTCTGCCTACCTAAAATGATCCTGAAAGGAATAGTTTATTCAAAAAAAAAAAAAAAATGAAGGTCACCTCACTCTTAAATCATATCCTTTGTGGTTTTACAGCTGTTGGGTTTATTTCAATGCCACAGTTCTGAGAAACTGACTCTGCTTTGATCAGGTAATGCCTCTCTTTCCATCTCATTCAAATATGGATTATTCTGTTTATAGGATGTTTGGACAGATGCAAAACACAGAGGGATCAATGATGCAGAAGACAAGAAAGCATCCCTATCATTGTCAACACAAGTGGACATGCAAAGGTAGGAATCCATAACCTCCCATTAGACCACAGATTAGAATATAGCTAGAATTTTCTGTGGGTCTTTTAATCCTAGACTTTTAATGAGAAATTTTAAGAACTTGAACTAGAATCTGTTGTTCAGAAACGTTTTTATCTTATTTTTAAATAACATGTTTACATAGATACCTCTTCACTAGACTGTACCCTTTTCTATATCTGTAGACTCACACCCATTTCAGCCTCTGGTATGTAGTTATGTACTTATAAATATTGTTAACTTGAATGTAATTGATCAGGTGTGATTTGACCTGGGTTGAAGATTGTGAAAGTGTTATAATGCTGCTGTATTAGACAAAGTGCATAATTATAAAAGTTAGCATCTGAGTTTGGTTTCATTAGTTGATATAAATATAAGAGTTTTATTTCAAACAACATTTGAGAAGGCGGCTACACTACTCAATCTTATGTTTCTTTTTTGGATGCTCATTTTTATTATTAGTCAGTTATTTTGGTATTACTTATATTTTGCCTTCCCGGACTTCAAACCCACTGAATATTACCTGTGTGATGGAGAAAAGATGTAAATGAAGGTAGATGACAAATTTTAGTGGAAATGTTTTAACTAAGCCGTTGATCAGCTAATACCCCACCCATTTGATTGTTTGTGGATTGGAGTTTTCTCCTAGAAGTGTTACATAAAAAGGATAGTTAATAAATAGTAAATAAAAGATATTGACCTCTTAGAATCAGTAAATCCAATTCTTTCAAGATAATTATGTATGTGATCATGTCAAGGTAATTTAAACAGAGGCTGTATATTTCTTTCCCCCCTCCTTAAGACATAGCGTACCCTCAGAATTTTACATTTCTACGACACATTTTCAAGTTCCTTTTTAACGCCTATATGTTTCAGAAAGAAAAATTATTTATTACAGATTACCCTAAATGTCCCAAGTGGCATCAGACTGCTTTGAGATTGTCCAGCACTGCACTGGTTATACTCATTGCTATAGTGATAGGACTAACCATTTTGGGTAAGTAAATTGAAAGCTGTCTGTTCAACTAGAGAGGTTAATACGTTTTCCTTGGCGTTTACCTTCATTTCTCTAACTTCTCCAGAACCATTTTTCACATTTACCTGTTACTTCAATTGCATCGCTATTAAAGGACACAGTTGATAATTTCATTAATGCAAGTATTTTTTTTTCTTATACAGAGGAAACAACAAACTTGTTAATTTGTAAAGTCTATTCTGCTTATAATTGTATTTATTTAATTTTTTTAATTTTAAAAAAATTTTGAGAGAGAGAGAGTGTGTGGGGGAGAGGCAGAGAGAGGGGGGCAGAGGAGGATCCGAAGCGCCTTCTGTGCTGACAGCAGAGAGCCCCATGCGGGGCTTGAACTCGTGAACCATGAGATCATGACTTGAGCCAAAGTCGGATGCTTAACTGACTGAGCCACCTAGGCACCCCATAGTTATTTTTTTAAAGTTTATATATTTATCTTGAGACAGAGAGGGAGAGAGGGAGAGAGAGAAAGACCGGCGACCGCCCAGACACAGGGGGGGGGGGGAGGGGCAGAGGGAGAGGGACAGAGGGAATCTTAAGCAGACTCCTTGCCCAGAGTGGAGCCAGACACGGGGTTCAAACCCACAAACTGTGAGATCATGAGGTGAGCTGAAATCAAGAGTTTGATGCTTAACCAACCGAGCCACCCAAGGCGTCCCCGCTTATAATCAATTGGTAGATAGTGTGGGTATGGTTGTCACAATTCTGTGAATTGAAGTTTTGTATTTTGGTAAAAGCACTTCGTTTTGTGGAAGTTGATTTGGCACTTTACATAAGACTTTTGGACGTTAGAGGTCACTTTTGATTTTTTGACGTTTTGACAAAATTTTTGAGCTGCTTGAAAATTTAAGGCCCAATTAAAGTTAAGATCTAGTCCTAAAATGAGGTCTACTTCAAGAAGAGCTCTGGGTAATTATATCTGTTATTGTTTCTATTTGTTGTGACTCTCTATGTGTAGGAATTGTGTTAAGCATTTTACATGCATTATTTTTTAGCCTCAAAACATTCTAGGTTTGTTCAACACTTTCCCCTTTTATATATGACGGAACTGAGAAACAGAAAAGGCTAGTAATCTGTTCAAGATCACACAGCAGTCTAACCTATCATACTTAGCAGATATAAATTTCAATATAGTTTCATTTTATTTAGATAATTTGTTATTGTTTGTTTCTACTTACTTGTTCTCAAGTGGAAATCTCCAGAGTCTCTAAGTTTATTCATCCTTTGTCACGTTATAGTATTGAAATGCTATAGACAGATTTCTCAACCAGCAGTGTGAGCATTCACTTGCAGTTCTGGTTTAGTGATAATTAAAAGGCACGAGGTCGTACTTGTAGAAATCTAACTGGTGTTACTACTTTATTTGCTAGTATGTCGCCTAAGTAGTGAGAAAGGAACCAAAGATTGTGATGGCATGAATATTTCTCCCAGGAAACAACAGGACAATACAAACTTCACAAGTAAGTGGTTATATTTCATTGTATTGTAGGGGAGGAAAAACTTTTCCTCCACCCTCTTAAGTTCCTACCGGGGGGGCGTGTGAATTAACTGTCAGAAGACCGATGAACAAGAAGAAAAGTTTTATTTGCATTCATAGGAGAGGTAACAAAAGAAGTAGCTGCCTCTGCCTGGTTACAGTTAAAGGTTTCCATACCTAGCTTAATAGGAGAAAGGAAGGGGGAAGACTTTCTTTGGGAAAAACAAGTACATTTCCACAGGAAAGACGAGCAAGTAGGTGTTTCAGGAGACCAAACTGGAGAAAATGAAGTTAGTAATGATGTCTGCATATACAGGTGGTGAGTAGTCTTTCCCTCTTCATAGTCATAAATTCGTCCAGGAAGGGGATTCATGGTAGAGTTCTTAGTCCTTTTTTTTCCCCTGGGAGTAAACCACTCCAAAGAGGAATTTATGGCAGCCTCATATCTCAGAAGCTTCTATTTTTAGTCAGATAAGGGATGCTCCGAAGAGGCTTCTCTCTGCACCTGTTGACTGCATTAGGCATATACAAAATAATTGGTTTACTGACAAGATAGCAAAGAATTTAAGCAAAAGTCCCTGCCCTTACCCACCTCATGATTAATGCGTGAGATCATAAAGTCAAATGGCACTGCCATATGCAATTTAAAGTGATAAAACTTTCCCGGGACATTACACCAGGATTATGTACCTTTTTTTACCCATGTGGATGTCACATCTCCACTATATAGGTTGCCGCTTTTGTAATTATTGTTTGTTATACTATGAGATTAAGGTGTTAGGTCACTCTTTAAAAATCAGAGTGGAAAGATCAAATTGTAAGGCATTTGGAGATCAGTATGGCTCACGAAGAAGGGGATTACTAATTACCAATTTACTCTCATCTAGATTTCTATTCGTTTCCAGTGGCCAGGGCACGGTAGGCGAGGAAAGATAATTTCCCCTCTACCTTGATGGGTTTTTGACTCAGACCCCCCCGTGCAATAAATGACAGATTAATAGGAGAAATACGGAAGTTTTATAACACTTATATCTCTGGGACACATGAAAGATACCCAGGAAAACTGGGTGACCCCCCCAAAATAGCTCAAGCCACCACCTTACGTACCATCTCCAGATAAGACAAAAGAAAAAGGGGGCAGAGGAGTCAGGGTAGGGGCCAAGGGCAGGCTGCCCATAAGTACCACAATAGCATATTAATTATTTTAAATTGGAGCTACTTGGGACATATCTGTCCCCCTGAAAGTGGGAAATAAATCTCCTGTGTCAAAGGTACCCTCCTTAAAAAAAAAAAATTAATGTTTATTTATTTTCGAGACACACACACACACACACACACACACACACACACACAGAGTGTGAGCGGGGGAGGGTCAGAGAGAGAAGGAGACACAGAATCCAAAGCAGGCTCCCAGGCTCTGAGCTGTCAGCACAGAGCCCGACGCGGGGCTCAAAGCCATGGACGGTGAGATGAGACCTGAGCCCAAGTCGGAGGCTGAACCCACTGAGCCACCTAGGAGCCCCCAAAGGTACCCCTTTTACTAAGAAGTGGAAAGACATCCTTATCACCAGAGATAGAAACTTTAATGCCAAAAAATCTAAAACAAACCTTGTTCCTTTTTTTCTAATCCACTCACTACCTTAGCCCCACTTCTTCGAATTCCTTGCTAATTAAAGCTCCCAAACACGTTTGCTTTATCCTGTCAATGCTTCACAAATTTATTGTCTCTTAGTCTAAAATGTATAAAAACTGCCTGACTCGGTCATTTGTTTGGGTCTCAAATTCATTATTGGGCCTCCGTGCACGCGCAAACTTTGGTGTTTGCTTGTGTTAAGCTGTCTCATGTAAATTTTGTTGTTGTTTTTTTTTTAAAGTTTATTTATTTATTTTTGAGAGAGAGAGAGAGAGAGAGGGAGAGAGATGCGTGAACAAGGGAGGGGCAGAGAGAGGGAGAGAGAGAGTCTCAAGCGGGGATTCCCTACTCGGGGCTCCATTCCACCAGCCGGTGAGATCATGACCTGAGCCAAAGCCAAGAATAGGATGTTCAATTGACTGGGCTACCCAGGTGCCCCAACGGAGTTCATTGCTTCAAAGTGGGGCAAAATCTGTACTTTTAAGGGAAAAGTTTAGAAATTAGTGCATTTTTTTGATATTCAAACCTTACTCTTCTGTTTCTTCCATTTTTTCCATTTCAGCAAAGTCCACGCTAAACTTATGCCCTAATAACTGGCTGCAGAAAAAAGGGAAATGCTATAATTTCTTAAAAACCTTTAAATCATGGACCGATAGCCAAAAATCCTGCTTAATAATGAAATCACATCTCTTGATGATCCAAGACATGGCTGAACTGGTAAGAGCTAATTTGCCAGGGAAATTAGCGCTTCTAAAACCGAGAGAAACAAGTAAATTAAAAAAAATAATAACGTTTGTTTATTTTTGAAGGAGAGAGAGACAGTATGAGCAGGGGAGGGGCAGAGAGAGAGGGAGACACAGAATCCAAAATGGGCTCCAGGCTCTGAGCTTCAGCACAAAGCCTATGGGGGGGGGGGGGGGGCGCGAACACACGAGCTGTGAGATCGTGACCTGAGCTGAAGTCGGATGCTTAACTGACTGAGCCACCCAGGCACCCCCAAAGGACATTTTATGATAAAGGAATTATACTGCTGATAATTACAGCCATTTATTGAATTCCTAGCATATACCAGGCACTGTGGTAGGCATGCCACAAATTATATAAAACTTAGTGCTCACAATAACTTTACGAAATAGGCAGTATTTTCCATTTTCATAAGAAGAATCCGCTGAACTTGACAGGTTGTGTAACAATGCTATTTCACATGTCAGTGGCAAAGCTGGGATATCGATGCTGTCTTTCCACATCACTTCTTGGGGAGAAAGATACAAGCTCTTTGAGCATTATCAGTATCTGGCAAAACTTTCTCAAGTCTGGGCGAAGATCAGAAGAGGCTATTTTACTGCATTTAACTCCGTTACCTCTGGGTTCTCTTTCACAGAATTTCATACAGAGTAGTATACCGGATGGAATTTACTTTTGGATGGGTCTGAACATCACGCACCCACAAAAGGCATGGACCTGGCTGGATGGCACCCCATTAAATCTACAGTTGTGAGTATTTGGCATTGGAGTCTCTCACCAGCCAACTTGTGCTGGGGGATGCCCGCCTGAAACTCCAGATGGTCAAAATGGTTCCCAGAGATCGAAGACTTTGATTTGTTAATGTGTGAGTGATTAAGCCATTTACCTTACAGAAAGGAGACTAATTTATTTGCTTATTTGGGTTCTCTTTTAGTTTATCCATGATGCTAGAGATGTAAATGGAAAATTGTAGTTAACCTGAAATTCTCTAAATTTCATTTCTTTTGAAGTGTTTCTTAAAAGTTTACAAAACAACCCTTATTTTAACTTACAGGAAGATTTCAATTAGTGGGAATACTTCAAATTTTAAGGAATATGTTATGTGTAATACAACAAATAGCCATTTGACTTGTTTTTAATACTGTCACCCTAATCAACAATATGTGTAGCCACTTTCTGCTTCCGTTCCATTCATTCTGCTTAATTCATTCTACTCATTCATTTTGGTTTAAACTCCATGGGTAGAGAGTGCTAAAATCTTTGGGCGCCAGGCACTAACTAATCCCCAGAACACAGGCAGAAGCTCCTGGGGGCCCAGGGTAAAACTTGCTACTTTCAGCATCAAGGTTTTTGGGATCATCAAAAGTTAATTTTACTTCTTGAAAATTTGGAATTTTGTTGTGTCATCTCAAAGAGATGTGAAGGAGGTTTAGGGAGAATATAGATGGTCTGGGGTGATGGAGAAGGCCCACTGGACTGGCTGAGGGGCAGTAAAAAAAAACGCTCTGAAACAGAAAGTCACCCTACAAATGAATATGCTTACCCAAAGACTATTTATAATATTTCTTTTAAAACTTGCACTCTATACCCACCCATAGCCTACTCTCTGTACATCACGCTAAAATAATTTTAAAACTTGATCTTTATCGCTAAAAGAAATCTATCATCATGTTTTTAAAGCGATGCTCTGTCAACCCACTTGCAAACTGGCTTAGAATTATCTGTTTTTTTTTTTTAATTGAGGGGTTTTGTCTGATTTTTTATTTTAAATTTTTTTTAATTTTAAAAAAATGTTTATTTATTTTTGAAGGAGACAGAGACAGAGCATGAGCAGGGGAGGGTCAGAGAGAGAAAGAGACACAGAATCTGAAGCAGGCTCCAGGCTCAGAGCTGTCAGCACAAATCCCGACGCGGGGCTTGAACTCACGAACTGTGAGATCAGGACCTGAGCTGAAGTCGGCAGCTTAACGGACTGAGTCACCCAGGTGCCCCTTTGTCTGACTTTTCAGATGCCTTATGGCTTATTTGTCTAAGACAAGAAAGGTTGGCTTAAATATCATGGAAAAAAAGAATTTAGGGAAATTTTCCATATATATATATATATATATATAAAGGGTAAAAGGATTTGGGTATGCCCATATATACACAAATGAGCAGAAATTCTCTTGCTGAGGTGTCTGTGTGAGTTTAAAACGTTTAAAAATGGGGAGGTCTTCTTCCCGGTTGCTCACCCCAACACTCACTCCTTCCCCCATTCTGTCTGGGGTTACATTTAACATGGAAAGTATAGAGGTACCAGAGTATTCCTCTTTCTTAGGATCTTCTGTAGAAGCCAGATTGCTTATTATAGGCAAACAGTGAAGGAAGAGTTTTGAAAGGTGCGATACTTGGGATTTGGGTCTGGAAAGTGAAAAAGGTGACAGTTCAGCTTTCTTCAGAAAGTCAGTTTAGTACTTTTTGAAGAACATGCATGTTTTGCATGTTTTTAGATGTGCTGACATTTCTAAATCTTAGAATGATAAATATGAGATTGTCCGTTCTAAAGGGGGTATCATTCCATTGTTGCACATACTCAGAAAGTTGAATCTGGAATCTTTTGAGTAATAAAATGAATTTTTCTCCTAAAAGGCCAGGATCGTCCTCTGTCTTAGTCCATTTGGGCTACTATTGACAAAACACCACAGATTGAGTAGCTCATAAGCAACAGAAATTTATTTCTCACTGTTCTGGAAAATGGGATTCCAAGATCAAAATATCAGCACGGTCATGTCTGGGTTAGGGCCCTCTTCCTGGTTGGTAGCCACATTCCATCCACCATGACCTCACATGGTGGAAGGAAGTCAGGATCTCTCTGGAGTCTCTTGTATAAGGAACTAATGAGAGTTCCATCTCATGACTTAAGCACCTCCCGAAGGTTCCACTTCCTAATATATCACTTTTATGGGTTAGGATTTTAACATATGAATTTTGGGGGGTGAACACAAACATTCAGACCACAACAAGTAACAGCCCTCTAAGATCTTTATGTTTTTGTAGGATGGCATGACATTGGGAAAACCAGTGTTTCTTATTCACATTTTTATTTTTATTTTAATTCCATGCAGCATTTCCATTTACCAATGGCCATTTTTGGTTGAGAAACTATTTGGAACAGCTACCTTCATTAAAGATGTCATTTTTTAGCGGGTGCTCCTTGTCTGAAAATTTAGAGAGTCTTAGATCTCCAGCTTGGAGAGCACATGCCTCCCAAGGCGGGAGATAAACACACAAAATTTCACGGTTGTGTTTTTAGCAGAATGAGAACAGAACATTGTCTTTTCATCTACAGATTTCAAGTCATGGGCCAAGTTGAAGATAACGCCTGTGCTGTAATAACAAAGAAGGGTGTGTTTTCTGAAAAGTGTTGTAATGAGAGTTACTGGATTTGTCAACATGTGATTTCTTCGGACAATGACTTCTAAACTGATTGCAGTCTATCCTTCCTATCAAAAAAAAAAAAAAATTCGGAAGTCTTTTTTTATTTATGTATTTTTGTAGATGTACATCATTTTTACAACAAATATTATGGTGATGATGATGATAATGGTGTAGATTTGTGTCACTCTAACTCTGGGCAATCAGGCTTAACTCATTCCTTGTGGCCTTGTCACTCTTGTCACTGGTGCTATAATTCAGCAGTCATCCCCCATTCATCATAGTGGCTCTTTTAGACAGAAGTTGGCCTTATCATCTCTTCAACAATTCTCTCCCGACAGCCCCCATTCACCATTAGCAGGGGAGCTTTTTTTTGAAGAGAAGCCGTCAGATGATACATTCGTGAATTTTCCACCACTGAGTCGATACAATTGTCTGCATCTTACTTATTTCTTTTCCTTCTCCTCCTATTTCCAAAGAAGGGGTCTTCCTCTGTCTGGCTAAATCAAATCTCAAAGTCTACAGCCGGGATCGCATCTCTTTTCATTTTTTCAAAGAGATTCCTTCCTTCATCACCTCCACTTCTAACCTCTCTCTTCATACGCCTCCTTTCCTTTCGACAATGAAAATGCAAGAACGCAAGAAAATTTTCCCTGAACCACTTGTGGCTTCCAGTTTCTATCCAGTGTCTCCCACCTGTTTTAAGTCAAACTTCCGAGAAATTGTTTATACTTGCTTTTTCCTCTTTTCACCTCCCACTCCAGGTTCTTCTGCAATCTGGTTTCTGCTTTTCCCACTATTTCACTAAAGTGTTCTCATCACGTCAAGAATGCCTTTCTTCTGCCTAAACACCATGACAGCTTTTTAGCTTTCCTCTGAACTCTCAGCAGTGTTGTTCATTTGTGGCCTATCCTTTCTTCCAGAAATAGTCTCTGACCTTGGCATCTATGACACAATGCTCTCTTGAACTTGTATCTACCTTCCTTGCCGTTGCTCTTCAGTTTTTTGTTTGTTTGTTTGTTTGTTTGAAGCATTGCTTCTCTCTTCTGATCTCTTAAATACTGACATTCCTTGGAGTTTTGCATGAATTCTCTCATACCCAATTCTTGGCTAAACTCATCCACTCTGTAGGTACAGTTACCATCAATTTATTGATAACTCCCAAGCCCATATTTCTAACCCAGACCTTATTACAGCAGATTGCCCCCTGGACATCTCTGGTTGGACGTCTCAAAGCCCCTCAATCTTCCCGTGTTAAAAATTAAACTCATTAGCTTAGTGAATGGCAGCAATGTGCCCATTAGCCTAAGCCAGAATCCTTGGAATCAACCATGACTTTTTTTTTTTTCTTTTTACCCTCGATAGTCACTCATTTAAATCCTGTCGATGTGACTACATAATTATTTTTGAATCCATCTATATCCTCATAGCCACCCTATTGTCCTCGATTCCTGCAACAGTCTTTTTGTCTGCTTTTAGTTTTGTCTGCCAAAGTCCATTCTCTATCTTGTGATCATAGCAATTGTCTAAACCTCCTATCAGGCCACATTACTCACTACTTGATTTCCTTCAGGGACTTTTCATTGCTTTCCCTTGTTTTTCATTGATCATCTCTTACCAGAACCTGGGTGTCTTCGCCCGTGTTCATTTCTTTCCCCCTGCCATGCTTATAATGATGCAAACACACTAAATTTTGTTCAGTTTCCCAAATGTGTCACGCTTTCTCTTGCCTCTAATCTACTCATGTCTGCCTCAGCTTAACGTTCTTCCCTTTCGTACTCCCCTGTTGAACTCCATTTGGAGTTCAGATGGCCTATTGAACTTCTTGTTCAGATGGCCAGTTGAACGCCATTTGGTGGACAATATTTCCTTAACCATTCTCCGCTCCAGACTACATTACATGCATTTGTGAATATGTTCATAGTTTCCTGTACTTATCGAATCCTAATATTTGATACTGGACTTTTGACCACTGTTTATTTATCTGTATTGTGAGCTTGGGGAGGACAATGATCCCCATTATTGTACGGGAGGGACAAGATGCCTGCGGCGTGATGGATGAAGAGTAAGCTCTTGTTATGTTGTTGAGTATTATTTGTAACATGTCTTAATGTTTCCCCAGAACAACTTTTCCTAGTTGTGGAGAGCTTCCCTTGGTCTAGATAACCACAATCTGCATGGAGACAAATAAACCACTCTGTTTTATTTTGTTTTGTTTTTTTTCAGGAAAGGTCTGTGTTAGGTTTACATGGGCTAATAGATGATATTTTCCAGGTTTATTGTCTGTTAGTTTCTGTTTCTAACCTAGAGCCTATATGGAGACTTGGAGCAGAGAGATTATTACATTAATGTTTGTTAATTAAATATAAATTCAGCAGTGGGAAACCTGCTTTAAGGTCTTAGATCCACTAGGAGTAAGACTGAAAGGTCATACATGAATGTCTAAAAGAAAAATGATACCAAATTGATATGTGTGAACAGAAGTAATTATAGTTTACAGGGAGTGAAATATAAAAACTTCAGCTCATTTTAAAAATTAAACACAGGGGCGCCTGGGTGGCGCAGTCGGTTAAGCGTCCGACTTCAGCCAGGTCACGATCTCGCGGTCCGTGAGTTCGAGCCCCGCGTCAGGCTCTGGGCTGATGGCTCGGAGCCTGGAGCCTGTTTCCGATTCTGTGTCTCCCTCTCTCTCTGCCCCTCCCCCGTTCATGCTCTGTCTCTCTCTGTCCCAAAAATAAATAAATGTTGAAAAAAAAAATTAAAAAAAAAAAATTAAACACAGAGAGCACAAATCCGTGTTTATTTAGTATAATGAATGCAAATATACATATTATTTTATTAATGTGAACATTTGAGAAATGTGGGAAAAAATGACAGGAGAGAAGGTTACACTTAAGAGGAAGGGAGAAAAAAAATGCTGAAAGATCAAGAGTCTGTGGATCTTTTTATTTTTGATTATTATTTTTTTTCTTGTTAGGATTGTTTTATTTTTATTTCTATTTCAATATATGAAGTTTATTGTCAAATTGGTTTCCATACAACGCCCAGTGCTCATCCCAAAAGGTGCCCTCCTCAATACCCAGCACCCACTTTCCCCTCCATCCCACCCACCATCAACCCTCAGTTTGTTCTCAGTTTTTCAGAGTCTCTTATGCTTTGGCTCTCTCCCACTCTAACCTCTTTTTTTTTTTTTTCCTTCCCCTCCCCCATGGGTTTCTGTTAAGTTTCTCAGGATCCACCTAAGAGTGAAACCATATGGTGTCTGTCTTTCTCTGTATGGCTTATTTCACTTAGCATCACACTCTCCAGTTCCATCCACGTTGCTACAAAGGGCCATATTTCATTCTTTCTCATTGCCACGTCGTTCTCCATTGTGTATATAAACCACAATTTCTTTATCCATTCATCAGTTGATGGACATTTGGGCTCTTTCCATAATTTGGCTATTGTTGAGAGTGCTGCTGTAAACATTGAGATACAAGTACCCCTATGCATCAGTACTCCTGTATCCCTTGGGTAAATTTCTAGCAGTGCTATTGCTGGGTCATAGGGTAGGTCTATTTTTAATTTTTTGAGGAACCTCCACTTTGTGGATCTTTTTAAAATTCAAAGTCAAGGGGCGCCTGCGTGGCTGAGTCGGTTAAGTGTCTGACTTCGGCTCAAGTCATGATCTCACAACTCGTGAGTTCGAGCCCCACGTTGGGCTCTGCGCTGACAGCTCGGAGCCTGGAAACTGCTTCGGGTTCTGTGTCTCCCCCTCTCTTTGTCCCTCCCCTGTTAGCATTCTGTCTTCCTCTCTCCCAAAAATAAATTAAAAATAAAAAATAAATAAAATTCAAAGCCAAGTTATCAATGCTCCTTGAAACTCAGATTTTGGTTTAAACATTCAAGCATTAAAATAATTAAATATTAAAACATACAACAATTAGTCTACCTGAATGTTTAAAAAATTCCTATCCAAGGGGCATTCTCAAAATAATATATCTGATTAAGTTGTAAAATGTGTGTTTGCACATAAGGAAATATTAAACTGGTGAAAATTTTTTTTAAATTTTTTTTGACGTTTATTTATTTTTGAGACAGAGAGAGACAGAGCATGAACGGGGGAGGGGCAGAGAGAGAGGGAGACACAGAATCGGAAACAGGCTCCAGGCTCTGAGCCATCAGCCCAGAGCCTGACGCGGGGCTCGAACTCACAGACTGAGAGATCGTGACCTGAGCTGAAGTCGGACGCTCAACCGACTGAGCCACCCAGGCGCCCCAAAACTGGTGAAATTTTGATATGAGAATTCTAAAACTACTGTGAATTTAATTAGCCATGTCTAAAAATCCTAATAGAAAGCAAAGCTTGTCTTATTATTTCCATTATATGTCTACATATGTGTATATTTTAAGGGATTAGATCGCCTGAATCACAACTAAAGTTATTTTTAGATTACCCAGTTCTCCAATTTAATATTTTTAATTATATAGTGATTCTAATTGTTGGGAAGGGAGTATATTAAATAACGTAAATTAGAAGATTCTCAGTGAGGGGAGCCTGGGTGGCTCAGTCGGTTAAGTGTCTGACTTTGGCTCAGGTCATGATCTTGCAGTCCCGTGGGTTCGAGCCCCGAGTCAGGCTCTGTGCTGACAGCTCAGAGCCTGGAACCTACTTCAGATTCTGTGTCTTTCTCTCTCTCTGCCCCTCCCCTGCTCACACTCTGTTTTTCTCTCTCAAAAATAAATAAACATTAAAACTTTTTTTTTTTTTTAAAGAAGATTCTGAGTGACAAATCCTTTAGGAATAAATTCATAATTTATGACACCTTAAAAGTTTTTATCCTTAAGCTTCAGACTTCTTTTGGAATTCATGTATGTTTCTGTGTATGTATGTGGCTTGGAGAAAATTATTGCTTCAGTAGGTAAAGGCTTTGATGAGACCACCTTCAACTTCCCACTTATTTTCCTAGTACAGTCGAGTGCTAAATCTGCCTCCCTTTCCCCAGAAAGGAAGAAAGGCTGAGATTCCTTTGCTCCTGAAATTTTACTATGTCATTTCCTGCTCCCATTGTTCCCCAGCCCTTTCTTCCCTTCTTTGACAAACTTTCTATTATATGACAGTGTTTCAACTCATCTGGTATGTTACCTCTAATAACAAAAAAAAAAAAAAGACCTAACATTAAGGTGGTTAGAAGTGTGAAAAAGAGAAAAACAATTGTACTGCACCCCGGCCCCTCTCAGCACATCTCTCTCTAACACTGTGTTCACATAGGAAGATGCACCTCAGTGCATGGCCCCCTTTACGCTGATTTGCTGGGTAGCCAGGTCACCAAGGTGAACCTGTTGGAATAGCCTTGGCTGAGGAACTCTCCATGCTACTTTTCTTCTTTACTCTTGAGGGTTCCCTTTCTGCCATTATTATTTTCCCACTGAACTTTTTTTAATTCCCAGAAACCAGTTTGGTTATCCCCCCCCCCAAAAAAAAGACCAAAAAATGGGATTATTTTAATAGTTAAAATGCACATTGGATGATATGGCAACTCCAAAGTGGTAGGTCTGAGATACATATCAGATATGGCATTAGGCCAGATCAAACGCAGAACTCGCAAGAAGAAGAAGAGAATCTTTCAATAAACCCTCAACAGTAAGCTGTTCGTGAATATTAAATTACTACTCTGGGAACATATCCCCGTAGATATTGCATAGCAACTGGATTAGTATTCCCATTTCCAAGTAAGCATTTTTCAAGTCAAATGAAGTATCATATATTCACTCTTACACAATGATAACATTGTATTCCTAAATATCTTCTTTCCTTCATTTATCCTCATTTGTCTTGAACACCCTGGCTTCTCCACTAATCACTGTATAAACTGCCATGTTACTTTCATACTTTTTAATACTTGTATGTGTATAAAAAATATATACACTATTGATTATATATATACTATAAATATATACATACTAAAAATAAAAACATATACTTCGTGTGTGTGTATATATATAACATATACATATATACTCCTACTTAAGTGCATATAGATAGTATACTTAAAAGTATAAAAAAATTTTTCATCAAGTCTAAACATATTTAAACTTTTACAAGTTGTCTTTCTGATGAACATAAGGGAAAGGAAGCAAAAATCATATAAAAACAGGGAGGGGAACAAACATAAGAGACCCTTAAATATGGAGAACAAACAGAGGGTTACTGGGGGGGGTGGCGGGAGAGGGGGGCTAAATGGCTAGGGGGCATTAAGAAATACACTCCTGAAATCATTGTTGCGCTATATGCTAACTTGGATATAAATTTAAAAAATAAATTAAACAAGATGGTAAAAAGAAAAAAAAAGAACTTGTCTTTCTAGAATCTCAGGGATATGCACTTCGAAGCATAATTATTCTTTATTGTCTTGGAAGAAAGTTGTACGAATATTTTTATTTTATTTACAAAACACCAAAACTTGAGGGGCCTGGGTGGCTCGTCGCTTAAGTCTCCGAGTCTTGATTTCGGCTCAGGTTGTGATCTCACGGTTTGTGAGTTCGAGCCCCATGACAGGCTCCGTGCTGACAGTGCAGCACCTGCTTTGGATCCTCGGTCTCCCTCCCCCACCCTCACTTACCCCCATTTACTCTCTCTCCGAGTAAATAAATAAACAAACTTAAGAAACAAAACCACCAAAACTCTCAACTTGTTTTCACAGGAACAGCTTTATTTCAGTATTAATTAGTCAACTTGAGGCAGACAACTTTAAAATCTGTATGCAATAGCATTGGGTGCCATAAAAGCCATGAGTCATACAAAGG